TATGTAGCCTTATAAGTGTGCTCCAAAATAATGAAGAACACACAACGGCTTGGTGGCAATGTATGCAGGGTAATAAAATATATATATAAAACCTAATATCTGACACCGGTTATATTGGAATTCAAACTCTGCTGTTAAAGAGAGACATCATATACAATAGATAAGATTTTCATATGTGCATGAGTAAGTCAGACCTAAAAAATATCAAGTTTTTTTTTTTTTTTTTTTTTACGAATCACAGCTGTAAACTGGCATCTTCGTCTAGCTTTCATCCTTTTTTTAAGGAGTTTAAAAATGACATCACAAGAAACAAGGACTTGAGCCTCATTGTATTTCAAATTCTAATGGCTTTATTTATATATATAGATTTGTATATATATATATATATATAGTTTAATGACTTCAATTGCTTGATTATCCTTTTTTTCATTTTTTTTTCTGTTAAATTGAAACGACAGGACATAAACAAGGCATTCCACATGATCATATCTTACAAAAAAGTAATGAAATCTTGAATGTGTGCACATCACACATACATTACATAGATAATACACTTGAGTTAGTATAAAGTGATGAAATATGGGCACGACTGAATTCACTTTGACAAAAGAAAGCTAGAATACAGAGAAAAACAAAGGAAGAGAGAGAGATAGAGCATTGTTATGACACCTGATAAAATAATAATTTATCATATTTTAATCAAATGAATCTGTTGCATAGTTTGAAGCAAGCTAGACTGTTATTTCAGCATGATAATGATTCTCACAAAAGGAGGGCTAAACAAAATCTGAATTTTTACCCCGCCAATTAAAACACACACCGACTGCACTGTTCATGACGGTCAGATAGGATGGGGCGAAGATCTTCTTTTCAAAACACACACACACATTGTTTTCTGAATCCAAAACACCTACTCGATTCCCTCCAAGTGCACATTGACAATTAATGAAATGGTAATTCAGCTGCTTATGGTGATTTTTCCCCCATCATGAAGCATACAGGTTGACACAGTTGAGTCAATTTTACATGAATATAGCATGGATCAAAATGAGCTCACTTTGATGATGGAAAACAAACCAAATAAACGTACACTACTTTCCATCAAGAACATTTTGGGTCAACTTCTCATCGTTAGACACGGATTCAGTAACAGTATATTCCCCATACTGTCACAGTATAGCCCTTAAAACTACATTACATTAGGTGAGCACATTCTGTCATCTAAAGAGACTGTAAACAGACAGGACACAGAGCATGAGGCTTTTTAGATTAACCCGTCAACATTTTAAATTAAATTATTTAAAATAAATGCAAATCAGATTCACTTTCAGTCGGAATCAATTAAGGCCGCCACACTTTCCAGTACCCAGTTATCAGACACAGTTTTCTAATTTGTAATCAGTTACTCTGAACTAAATCAGACACAGTGGTGCCGGTTGTCCATGTGGTCCATTGGCACTTCTGTGATCCTATAGATGGCATGCTTAGAGTAAACACCACAAAACATTACATTTCTGTAAACAGACCCCCCCACCACCATTTTGTTCCCTACTACTACGCAAAGCCCTTATCCTTCAGAGATCTTATTCAGCAAAACTATTAAATGTACCACAGAAGCCTAAGTTTAATAGCCCAAGATAGCTATGGCATGATTCTGATGAATGCCTCACATTCACAATAAATACCAAGAAAAATTAACATTAACAATTAACATTAACAAATGAGCTGCGATATTGAATGTAAGACTACACGTTCATTGGCTGATGTAAGCAACTAAACCTAACTTGGATACGTTTATTAAACAATGCTCTCTCTCTTTCTCAAAGCCCTCAATTAGAGGAAAAGGGAGGGAATAAAGACAGTAAAGGGAATCAGTGCATTTCAGGAAAGTGAAATGGGGACTCGAGTACGACTGTAGCCTACCTTGAAAATGCAAGTCCTTCAGCTTTACTGCGCTAGTGTCTTTCATCTTTGATGGATCATGCATGGATGAGAGTGAGCTGTCTGGAAGGAGTTGGTTACCCACACAATAAGGTGATGGAACATCAAAGCTCGTACCACTCTGCAATTAGGCAGTTCAATCTACAGCCACAGCTTATGGCTATAAAAGTAACGAAACGAAGCCAAAGCGAAGCGTAACTGGTAAAAATAAGACTAGAGATCTTTCAAGCACATACTCTGGCAGTCATTCCCCAATTCCCACACCCCAGTAATTAGGAAATTTAAATGGAGCAGTGCTCTCTCATGATGTCTAGACAAAAACGAGACTCTTTCATTTCCTCGTTGCAGAACATTCCTCTCTGAAATGGCATCGAGTCAGTGTGTGTTTCCTTTGATAATGATACCTATTGATAATGAGGGAGTGTGTGTGTGTGCGTGTGTGCGCGCGCGCATGTTTATTCGTGTCACATTCATTCTGGAAACAAACATTTGGGGACAGCTCATTCCATATGTAATCATGCAGAACATTAAACACATATATTGAACAATTACGATTATTTTCCAATGCAGTTTTTTCCCTAAGTACAGCATGGTTTAAGCTACACAGGACATTAAAAATACCAATCGCACCAGATTGTACATATTGCTTTGAACCACCAATTTGTTTATAAGTAATGCATGCCACATAGATACAAAAATAACACCAGTGTATATTACTGTTTCATATGAATTACAGAAATCGGATGTTCTATTGACTGCTTTCCCCCACAATCAAATACAATTTTAATTTCACTCAACATCAGATGTAATTGAACTATATGCAAAATAAGTAGTTATAACTTAATGTTATATTCCAGTTTTGAAACACAATCTTTTATTTACAGCTGTGGTGAATCATTACCTCCCGAACAAACAAACAAGAACTGTCAGACAACTTCAGTAGAGTAGTAATGCGATAAAATTCAGTTATTGCACAGCACCTTGAAGCGATTCTCGGTTTACACAATGCATGAGAAACATGTGCAATAACAGAAATTGTTCTAAAAAGCTATTAAAGTGAACCAAAAAAGAAAAGAAAAATTAAAGACAATTTGATCATTTCCCCCTTTTTCTACATCAATCATGTCCAAGCAATGAAGAAATAAAACGGAAGGGGGCATATTTCAGATCCTGGAGGGGGAAAAAAACATTAGGGATTCAAATAAGGATGAAATCCAGTTATAAATTATTCTAAATGAACAAGAACAATGTCAGAACTGACTGTACAAAGCAACACTTTGGCAGAATTTATATAAAGCTCTAAATGGAAAACATTTGACTGCTTCCACATGAAGTCAAATACATTTTGTGTAACATACAGTGTGTGTATGCTTAATTTGTATCCAGAGTATGACAAAAAAAAAAAAAAAAACCAAAAAACAAATCGAAGTTAAAAATGACAACAGAGAATAAGTAATAATCTCAATTATTTTCCATAACCGACTCTTTGCCACTTTGGGTCATTCAGAAATCGCACAGAAAATAAATTACGATGTTTTCAGCCTAAAAGAACACAGAAGTTGAAGACCTCAACAGTTTTAATTAGCATTTCCCACTGTAGTCTAATAGATTCTAATTAGGTGGCAAATAATATATTTTAAAGACTTTGTACGGCCAGTACATCTATCTGTGGCTGCAGGTTTTGAGTACACAATTCGGGATAAGGCCAATAAATGCTCACTCTTCTGTTGAGAACTCGACCAGACCCATTGACTTTACAGTAAACACGTAACTTTCTCAGCTCAGACATCGAATCTGACACCGCATGTGGTTACAAACGTGGCATAAATATTTATATTTATATATATATAACTGCAATATGTACTCAACTGCTTATTTAGCTAATTTGTCATGTCACCAAACTCTCTGGCCTATACACCTATATTTATATTTTTCCAAAATATTAAAAAGTACTTAATATAAAAATACAGAACAATTGTAAAAAAGGAACAAAACATTGAGTTTTATATGAAATTCATGCATGCCTCCCCACAATAACATACCATGTTCCACTTAAGCGAGATAACAAAAACTGCCAGTAGGGGGAAGTGCAGCATTAGCCGACTGCTGTGGAACCGTTCCGTAAACATTAAAGTGGTCCATCTAGTTTCTTTTTTGTTTGTTTGTTTTTTATCTAGTTTTACCCCCTTTTTAATCTTTAGGCAGTGACTGTGTTTTTCGAATTTGGTTGGAAATACAAAATAAACTGCAAAAACAATGGGATATAAAAGAACAATCTATAAAATATGGCTCTGAGCAAGTAGAAAAAGGTGTAATTGGAGGAATCCATTTAACCTAGACTGGTATGAGCGAAAGGTTGGTCTGTGGCAGTAGTATGTTTCGTCTAATAAAAAGCACATGTCGTTGAGGCCGCACTTTTATGAAAACAGTCCGATCTAGTTTGTCATCCAGGTTTCAACAGAGCTCAGAGGGTCAAACTGAGGCCCTAGCTGCATGCTATGGTGTGTGAGTGTTTTCTTTCTTTCTTTTTTTTAAATAGCAAAAGCATGCTTACTACGTGCAGTATCCTTACTCTCGCAGGCTAAACTCAAGGATGGGATTTTGGAGCTCTATCAGTGCTGTCTGCGTAACTTGGAGCTTATGAGGAGCACAGCCTGATGTTAGATAACAAGGAGAACACCTAACTGCAGAACTGAGGTGAGAAAAAGATTGGATTTGAAGGTACACCCATACAGAATCACTACTATAGCAATTCTTTTTTTGAAAGAGGAAACGAGTAAAAGGAAAATTCTAGTTATTATTCGTATTCCCAGAAAGATTAGCATTACAATTCCCATTCCTATACAATCAGACACAGATGAACCTAAAGACAGATACATGCACACTATGGTGAGGTGCTGTACCTTTGATAAAGTACTTGGTCAATTAGCCGGGGCAATCATTTTGAGGCAGATGAGCATTAACAAGAGACTAGAGATGCCCAGTGGGTGTGATTTCGATGAAATGTGTTGGATGACTCTCCCTGCCCCCTTAAGAGCCAATCAGGTATTCTAAACTCATAGCTATCAAATAAGTTTATTATAGACTTTTATTCTGCTAACGTTCACTATAGCAGCCTTACATCTGTACATATAAAGTGACAGAACACCCAAAATGAGCATCGCATGGGACAATGTCTAAAAACATGACAAGAATGTAGTGTGTCTGAACTACTTAAAATGTCCATTGAGCATAAAATCATTTTAAAAACTAAAAGAACATGGGTAACTTCACTGCCATGTTTTTCAATCCACCTTAGAGCAAATTGAGAGAGAAAAGAAATCTATTCAAACAGCAATTGAGTGCATGAACACAATCAGCTGTCTCAGCAAAAAACTAAACAAAAACTATGTAAATGAGAGTCCTGGGACAAATAACATAAATGATTACAGCATTACACAAGACCAGAGACATAACAATATAAAAATGAGAAAAATCACAACTGTAGAAGAGATAAAAATGTCAGTGACAGGCTGAGAGAGGGCGTTTGCTGCAGCATCGCCCTCTAGTGTGTAGGTTAGGCCATGTGTCACATGGGCTGCAGGACAGCCGCATGTACTTACAGAGCGCTGCTGCCGCCGACACAGTGCAAGTCGAGAGGGGCAGAGGGGTGGGGGAGATGGAGGAGAGGAGAAAGGGATCATGACCGCCCAATCAGCTGCTGTAGGTGCTGCTGTCTCTCAGATGTGTATCAGCAGGGCTCCACCGGTAGAGTGGTGCACAGGTTTTAATACAGAACAAAAAAAGACGACGATTTTGGGGCAGTTGCACTGGAGCATGGAGGATGGTGGGAGGGTCACATGGAGAATTCCAGGCTGTGAAGAGAGCGGCCTGGGGGTTCGCCGCCACCTCCATTTCTGGAAGAGGAGGGGAGCTGCTCGATCTCTACACAGCCCTCATCTATCGTGGGGATGCGGTGTTCCTCCTCGGAGAGGGGTACAAACCCAGGTTGGGACATGAAGTTATGAATGGAGCTTCTGGATTCTGGCTTCTCTAGGCCCTCGTACAAGGAGCTACGGAATGCGTTCACCACCTTAATCTGCAGCGAGGAGTTGGGAGACAGAAAGAGAAGGAATTAGTGGGATCGTATTGGCATAGTGTCCGCTTTAGGGTGGGATGTACTGGATCTGGATGGGAACGAAAATATGGTCAGTGGTGGGAGATGATTTCCTTTCCACAATAGCACTCAAGCTCCTTATGAAATATACAAACAAATAAAAACCAACACAAAAACAACAGCACAGGCAGTTGAATAGAGAAACAGGGATAACATGAAAACAAACCATGACTGTAATGCAATTTCCTATTTGGGACAAGTGAATGAGGAAATCAGGCATAGGATAAAACAGTAAGTGGGACACATCAATCACAAGCTTCAAAACGTTACAAACAAAATGACGACAACCACAGAACCACTGCAAAATGAGACGGACAAGCAACCAATGTTTGTTTAATAAGCCATTTAATTGCCAAAAACAGCAGATGTTCAGCATCTCTTTTGGGTCAGTAGGGGTGGGCGATACAGCAAGTTGGAACTGTAAACTGGTACAAATTGTCAACCGCAGACATCGAATATCATGTTTTTTGTAAAACATCACTACATGGTAATAAAAAAATAACAAAAATAAAAATGGCCAAACATTTCAATCAGGATGAAAATTAGGGAAGTTACTTGGGATACACCGAAATGAAAATTCTTGTCCGAAACCGAAACTTCTGAATACCCTTGGCCGAAAACCAAAACTGAAAATTACATTTAATAATTACTAATTTCTTATTTTAATTTATTTTTGTATAATTGTATTAATATAATACTTTTGAATTAAATTCAATAATTTAACTGAATCTGAATCTAAAAAATACAAGTCAATAAAATAAAATATATTAAAATGAATCCTGAGAGTGAGAGGTTTCTTCCTCCATACAACTAGACACAGCATTAAAATGCATAGGATGTGCATCCAGTCCTTCAAAACATATGCTCTGGGCCTCTCAGAGGATCTGTGTTGTGCGTTCAAACACCAGAAACTAATCTTGCTCTCTTGCAATTTTTATGGTTTCAACCTTGAGAACGACCATAAAGACAAATGTGAATTGGTATAACTTGTTTTGTAAGGGTCTGGATGCTTTTCCCTACAATACGCTTATGGTAACAACCATGTCTGAAGAACCATCTGCCCTGCCAGCCCAGCCAATCAGCAGTGCCTTAGTCTATTCAATTCCTGTTTATTTCTCAGGTTTACATGATTGTACTTTGCAGCTATGTCAGCCGTGCTCAATCTAATTTTGGCTATTTATTATTATATTCAGATTCTGAAATATAAGAACAAGATATTATTATTATTACCACCATATGTATGAACAACTACTAAATAAATTAATTCTAAAAACTGTGGGTAGGCTCTTTTGACTTGAGACAACCACCTAAAGATGATCTAGCAAACGCAGAGCAACATGCTAAAAACACCACATTTCTGCAGAAAATTAAATTCGAGTTTACATTTTAATACACTCCTTGGAAGGATATAGCTTGGCTACATCTGTCCATATTTACACTGCTATTTAAAAATGGCTGAACTAATTGAACCTTTAATTTCCTTTAATTTGCCTGTATATTTGGATATTCCCATCAATGGTTAAATGAACCCTCTGACCCTATATATGCCTTGTGATCTGCCTAACACACACACACACACTTATAATGTGTAATGCAAAAGGAAACCTAAATAAGGAAGGCAGGGAAAAAAAAACTGTCCCTCACTCATAGCTTCTTCTAGAATATCAATGAAGAGAGATGGAGACAGAGTATAACGTGTCAGAGCAGAAGACACAAGGTGTGATGAGAGGAGCTGAAAGCATGAGTGAGACAGAAACGGGGTGGCAAAGGAAAGAGAGAGAGAGAGAGACAAAGAGAAAAGTGTGAGCGAGTGTGTGAAAGCAGTTGTGAAAAGAGGGAGAGGGTTGGTGTTAAAAAGAGAGAGTGAGCCAGAAAAATTCCATAGGGATCACTATGACCCTTATGGTGTGTTCACACCGAACGCAAATTTAATTATTTGCGTGAGTAGATTAAATACAAAGTCAATGCAAAGACACGAATAGACGCATCATTCACGCTGGGCGAATGACGCAAATTGGGCGACGCGTTAGCCGCGAACGTTCTCGCAAGTTGAAAGATTTTAACTCGAGCGGAAGATTCGAGCGTCTAACTAGATGAGTATTTGACGCTCTATTTGCGTTCGAAGTGAACACACCATTACTCCCTCCGCGGTGCAGAGTAATGGATAATTTTGAGAAAATATTGTTTATGCGTGGTAAAACTAACGTTTTAAGTCACTGAAATAAACGTTTGTTCACAAGACTTTTAAGTACTGTATCTTGTAAAGGCCATATGCAAGAAGTAGATGATCATGAATAATGGTGTGATTCACACCTGTGGAGACAATGACCCCTCCCCAAAATGGCCTATCAATGAAGAATGTGACAAAGCGGGAACTACAAGAAGAAGAAAAAAGGACAAAACAATTTTTTTTGTTTGTTTGTAGTTTATTTATAATCTTAACAATATAATCCAAATATAAATTAGGGTCAAAGGCGCATTTTGATAGTCATACCTGGAAACAAATCCAAATATATAAGTAAACATCACATACCTGGCATTTCCAAGGTGTTTGGTGTTTCTATAGCCTGGTAATACCAGACTCTGCTACTTCACTTTGCTTCGTAGACAGAGTCTGGAATGGCATAATAGAGAAGTGTATTCTCTCTCGCTAGGAGGCGCTTGTCTGAAGTTTAAAATCATTGGTTACCCGTAAGCCAATCAGATAAGTTTATATATGACGTATGTTATGTGCCGACACAGCCGCATCGAACCAGACATCATGCATCGAACTCAAATCTATGATCGAACTTCCACTGTAAACCTGCTGTAAACACTTGATGATGCGAGCGAAATACTAGAGTGAACATGGCTGTAAACGACTTTTGCAGATTATGCGAAGTTAATCTACGCATCCACGGTACAATCAGGGCCTCTAAACTGATATTTGACAGTAGAGAGAAACAAAAAACTATTTGCAGCCAACTGTCAAAGTTAGGATTAGTTCTGTTAAACACAGCTCTTTGTTCATCTCGAGTCTGACGGAAATGCTGCAACTTAATTGCAAGATTACAGCATGTCATGGCAATATTTAAGACCTGGAAAAGAAAGGAGACACTGACCTGTCAAAAGGCTCCCCAGTTTCTCGCTGACGATCGGTAATAGTTCAGTTGATAAATTAAACTTTTCCCAAAGGGAGTAGGGCCACAACATCACCTCCTTTCAAAATGTTTAATACACACTCTTCTTGTTCGGGCTTCAGTTTGCTAATGCCGGGAATATTCTCCACAACAGAGCGAATTGCATCCGCGTCTCCATATCCGCGGTCGTTTTCGATTTCCCTGACCTAACCTTAAACTCGTCGCTTAGCGACTACGTCACGGCTTTCAGCCCGCCCTCTGTTCGTTGATTGGCCCGGCTGTTTTCAGGCCTGAGGAAAACGGATAGATAGGTCGCTGTCTCAGACTGAGTACAGAAGCGAAATGAAATTGAGCGGAAGTACGAAGTCTGACGTAGTCAGGCTAGTGTTTCTATGCATTGGAAATAAAAGCTTACCTACTTCCAGTCAGTGAGCTCACCTTCACCATATTCACGTAGAATTATCAGTCCAATGTAGCTGTACAGCGCACTGATGCTCATATTTGTCCATTTGACTCAGTGTGACCTTTAACATTTGCCCTGGCAGCCTGAGCATTTTTGTGCACAAAACTGAGACAACACTCTCAGGGGGAAGAAAATAAAGAAAAACAAACATTTGAAGAGAGTCATATGAGAGTTTGTGGTCCAGGTTCACATGCAGTCTGGTATCTGGTCACTGTCATTCTCATCTGTATAAAAAAAAAAAAAAATATATATATATATATATATATATATATATATATATATATATATATATATATATATATAAAACATATGTGAGCGTGCTGATAACAGGATCATAGCAACAGCAACTATAGGATTAACATTAATATAATATCAGAAATCATAACAGAAAACATGATTTTTGTAATGTCATACATGCTTAAACAAATTATCGTAGAGTACATAGTACACGATTTTTATATTATATCATAGAAACTTTTTGTTTAGTACATTCAAAACGTCTACATCTAAGCAGAAATTCACGAACAAAAGCTTCATTGATGAGGCAGTATTTTACAGTAAACACTTCATAAACTACCCAAAATAGTCCAATAAAATCTTGTCTAAACATTCAATTTACCTTATATTACAATACATTTTCATCCTAGTTTAATACATTGCTTGTATAAAATACATTTTATTTCAACATATTTTATTCGATTTCACTCATTTCAGCATAGCAATATGGTTTGGGAAAAGCCAAACTAGTAAATATGTACATTTATGTAAAAAATAGCACGTTTTATAATGTAAGTAACAATAAATGACTTACTCGTCAGAAATTATATTCTCAGCTGGATCAAGTAGCTCCTCAAAATGAAACCGAAACCAGTCACGCTCTTCTTCTGAGGTAAATTCTTCCAGGATTAGTCCTCACCGCATCTCAACATGATGTGAAGTAAATTAATCAGATGAAACTTGATGTGTTTTATTGAGTTGATGTGGGCTTTGACTTTACATGGATCGCCTCAGATCATTACTGTATGAATAGCGCATGCTGTCTGTAGGCGTTTTCACATTAGCGGTAATGAGCTAACACGAGAACGACTGGACATCTCTCTTTTCATACAGATTACATAAACATATTTGTTTATATATTTGTTTTTGTCTTGAATTAGATAATTTAAAAGTAGACACTTAAATGTTTCTTTAGATATATTGCTTATGTCTGTGTGACAAGTATTCGCTGAGTTTTGTGACGCGCTCCATAAAAAAGTTCATGGAGGCCGAGATGGCAGAAAGCACACCCTGTTTGTTTCGATTGAACGTGGACACAAATAATAGTAGACACTTTACAGTTTTGAATGATGTATAAACTAGGGCTGGACCCGAATATCCGAATATTCCTTCGGTGGGTTGGTATTCGATGTGACATTCGAATATTCGTCTTTTTTTTTTTGCACACCTGGCATCCCCCTCGAAACGTTCTCATTCGCGCTTGAATATGTTTTACACTATAAAATCTGGTGAAATGTAATACTTAACATATAACTTCGTAATAGCCACTTAATAAATATATTTGCTTCTTCTTGGACTACTAAAAGTGCTCCTGCAACGGGAGTATTCTCTGGCTAGAGCGCAGAACAGCGGAGTTTGTATGGACAGAAGTGCATGCCTGAGCTGGTACTTTGGGTTAAGCTTTGACATTGTGAAAAATAGAAACAAAATGTATTATGCTTTTTTCCGTTATTATCAATCTAAATTAATCTACTGTGAAATATAGGAGACTTTGAGATTTTACTGGGACGTCACGTCACAATTTCGTTTTTCTTTATTTAAATTTCGTTTTTCTATATTTAAATTTCGTTTTTATTTATTTAAATTTTGTTTTTATTTATTATTTATTTAAATTTCGTTTTTATTTATTTAAATCTACCCTACTTTGTCAGTGAGAAAAATATTATAAGACTATACCTTATTAAAAATATTGCTTAAGTTAAAAGACCAGTGTGTGTGCGTTTTATATCACGTGCAATGTCCATTCTCGTGGGCATATAAGCCCTGCTCGCGTGAGGTGCGCCGCTTCTTTATTTAAATCTACCCTACTTTGTCAGTTATTTGTTAGTGAGAAAAATATTAGACTACCTTATTAAAAATATTGCTTAAGTTAACAGACCTGTGTGTGTGTGTGTTTAATATCACTAGTGGAGTGTCCGTTCTCGGAGCATATAAGCTCTGCTCGCGTGAGGCGCGCTTCCCGCTCGCGCTGTTCTGTAGTTTATTAAAAGTTGATAAATTCTGAACATGTCACGTCTCGCCTGTCTATCTATATTGCACCAAATACGACACTGCACTCCCTTGTGATGTCGTTTGGATGAACGGTTCTCGAATTAATCAAAATGCAAACGGACACAGACAGACATATATAGAGATTCCGAAGCTTCGAATATTCATTACTACCGAAGCTTCGAAGCTCAAAAAATGGTATTCGGACCAGCCCTAGTATAAACTATAAATTAAGTATTTTAAGTCGATTTTGCTGCTATGTAAAAAAAAAAAAAAAAAAAAAAAAACACCACCAAACCACGCCACACGTTTGACCAATGTTTAAATGTGATTAAAAGCCTAAATTTCATATAAAGTGATTGTGTATCTTTGGAATATTTGGACTAAACCGCTTAAGTCATATGGATTAGTTTTATGATCTCTCTTTATGAACCTTTGAGGCGTCAAAGTGGTAGTTGCGTAGCTGTCAATGGAGGGACAGAAAGGTCTCAGATTTCATCAAAAAGATCTTCATTTGTGTTCTGAACATAAACGCAAGTCGTACGGGTTTGGAACGACATGAGGGTAATTAATGATAGAATTTTCATTTTTGCGTGAACTATCATTTTAACACTGCCAAATTTAAAGTGTAGAGAGGGTCCTTCATGAAGGGATTCAGTTTCTCACTTTCATTTAAAACAGTCCTATGTATGGCATCCTCTTACCATAGTACACTTCAAGGGCACACAAATTCCAATGAATAAAATCATAGGGCATAATTCATTAATAGAATGAATTTCTGTGCAAATTGTTTGTAAAACCATTCTTGCAAAAGTTGTTGCAATGAATTTCAAAGTTTATTTAAGAACAGTTTTTTTTATGAAAAATGGACACATACTTTAATCCTGTTTGTATTTCATGAATGTGGCCCATTGTGTGGATATTTACTCATCATATTTACATGATTTTGGCCAATTAGATATCATTGTCGATGGGATTACACAGTGAAATGCACCAAAAATCATTACCTAGCATACGTCAAAATGTTCTGAAGCACAACATTGCTGCTGGTCACAACTCTTACATGGATTTTATTGGTATATATCGTTTTACCCTTCATTGAGGAAGGGGTAGTTAGGACATAGTGCTACTGCAAACTGAGCATTAATAAAGTAAATATAATATATATATAATAAATAAATAATATAAAAATGAAAAAAAAATAATAATAATAATTTGACTCTCGGCTAGACATTAAGCATATCTGTTTGACCCAAAAATAGCAAAAGGAAAAAAATGTATAGCCATTACCTTATATCTATGTACAAATAAAACTATTTCTCCTAATAAAGGGAACTAAATAATTACATTAGATGTTAGGCCACCCTAAAAAAAACCTGGCACTGGTAACTCACATGCAGACAACTGCAAGGCCATCCATATTCAAATCACACATGATGCACTGGTTCAGGCGTTGGAAAAAATGCAAAGTGAATGAGAAAGAGACAGAAATAATGCAGAGAAGGAGCTTTAGTTGGGAGATTGTGAAGGACAGATTGGGAAAAAAAATAAAAAGAGAGAGGAAGAGTGGTCTAAAAAAGGGTGGTTATTGGTTTACTGGAGGTTAACAGGCAGATCATGAAAGCATTCAGAATGGCCATCATGCAATGGCAGTGCTAGTTTGTGTTATGTGGCACTCACTGCCTGTAGTAGAAGAGGAAGCAGGGGCGGGTGGCCCAGCAGCTGCAGCAGAGTTGGCGGACAGGGAGGAAGAGGAAATCCCTACATGGGTGGGGCTAGAAACAGTTTTTGCGTCGTTTTGCTGGCTGACCACGGAGGGCTGGCGACGCAGGGCCCCAGGCACCGCCGTTTGGCCTGTCTGGAATGTATAAACCACATCCATCTGCAAAGAACAGGGAGAGAACGAGGGGGGGAAAAATAGAGGAAGAAAGGGAAAGCGAGTAAAACAAAGACCAAGGGCCAAAAGGAGTGGTTAGAGCAGATACATTTGTTATTTGAAAGGGAAAAAGAGAACATCCCCTCAACCCCACAAATAAAAAGTTCAGTTAGTACTAAGTCAGTCTGGCAAGAGAAGGGCTGGCACAGGAAGATAAAAAGGAAAGTTTTATGTAAGGAGCTACTTTTTTCAGGAGAAAGGAAATGCTTGAAGGTGTCCGCGAAAAAGAAAGGGAGCACAAAGGAAACTATTTCTATAAAGTACTGATGAGTCTGAATCGTACTTGTGCCAATTATTTCTTTTTTTGTGTACCACTAACCATGCATGACAGATATAAAATAGAAATCCATGAGGATTTTGAAAGTGGGATGGTGGGAATGGAAGGGGAGAGATAAGGAGCTAATTAGTAGTGTTTTCACGGTCAGTTTACTGGCTCCTAATCAGGAATAAGAGTGAAGGGTGGGAGGAGGAAAGAAGGACGAGAAGACTGTTTGGTCTCTTTTTCATCTAGGCTTGGAGGGAAGCTTGGTAGATTTAGCAGAGATGGTGATCTGGAACAACAGGGGGTCTGGACGTATCCAGGGCACACACACATTAAAATTATTTCTCCCCTTCACACATTACTGTCCAACTGACTTGCTCAGAAGACAAAATAAGATTAGATACAATGACATCAAAAGTACACAATTTAAGACTAGGGTTGGGTATCGAGAATCGGTTCCATTTTAGAACCGGTAATACATTTCCAAAAAAACGGGGATTCAATAAGCCGCACTCATTTCGATTCCCCTTATCGATTCCTGACTTTGGGGCCGTTCACATATCACATTTTTTGCACGTGCAAATTCGTTATTTCAAATGTAGGCACGCGGCAAGCGCTTGCGGTGCGCTCGTTTTTCCAGGCGCGCCTCTGCCGTGACAAGATGAAAACATCTCAACTTTTCAGAATGCTGCAAGCACACCGCAGGTCATGTGACAAAAAACAACCGACCTTTCCGTAACATCGAAAGCTCGGCCGAACAGCTGATCATAGCTGTACAGGGCGGGTTTTTATTTCTCATCTCCATAAACATATCTAGTAGTAGAGCTAATGCAAGGTCTAGAAATCAATTAATCCTTTGCTGATACTTCCTCGTCATCATGGAGAGCGCAGTTCATGGTTGCATAGCAACGACAAGTGCTTGTGGAAAGAAGGAGAAAGCGGCTTTCCACTCGTTTTTAGACGTGATATATGAACATCTTATATATATCTAGATATATAACGACTGAGAATATATTTCTCAGTCGTTCTCGCGCTGTGCCGGTGAATACAGCTGTATTGATCTGCCAGGACCTGGCTCCCACAAAGATAGGATTTCATTACTGTACATCACATTAACCATGACTGACCGCAGCAAGCTTTCGAAAGTTGGGTTAAGTTTTTTGAAAAAATACGATAATATAGCAAAATGCAACACATGCAACAAGTAAATTTCATGCAAGGGAGGAAGCACATAAAATATGATGAAGCATTTGCTTCAACACTCCATTAATTTAAAGGAATGAAAAAGTGTTTGATTCAATGTCTCCCAGTCGCAACAACGCACCCGATACATCTAAAATTAGCGACAGCCACATCTCTCACTCAAGTACAAAACATACAGATGAGCCAACATTCAACTCCAATTTAGAGCTGAATAGTTCAGGATAAACTGAGAATCTATTTGGTTTAAAATCGTTTTTGTTTTGTTTAAAATATAGATCATGTAGATTCAGTCAATTAAAAAATCATTAATATTAATAATTAATTCAGTGTCTCATTCATAAATACCTGTTTAATTAATGGATGATTAACCGTTTTTCAACAAATCTCAAGTCTTCTTGAATAAATGATTCAATGAAAAAAAAATTTAACAGTCGATTGTTGCCACCTACTGGAGTAATGTAATCAACACAATCTTTATTTGAAGAGACTCCTTTCACTTGATCCATTTTATTGGTTATTGCTTAAAATTGGCAAGAATAAAAGGTAGAAATATTTATTCTTCAAGTATTTGGCCTTTTTTTTCTCTCCAAAAAATATTGGAATCGGAAACAATAATCGATGAGAACTGGATTCGATAAGCAGAATCGCTAAAATGTAAACGATACCCAACCCTATTTAAGACTGTTGAAACATTCATGTTAATATGGGAACAATATAGGAACAAACGATTAAAATATTTAATCGTGATTAATCGCATTAATGTCATAGTTAACTCGCGATTAATCGCATTTAATCGCACATTTTTATCTATTCTAAATGTCTCTTGATTTCTTTTTATCCCATTATTTTATCTCATTTTAATGCTCTTATCAACATGGAAAAGTGGATCGGCTTGCTTTGTGCAAATGTTTTTTATTGAAAACAACATTGGCATATATTGTGTTCAATTTCACACTAAAACATTCTTACTTGGAGCAAATAATCTCTCACACAATGTAACACTGTCCATCAATAAAAGGGTGAAAGAAATACTGACGAGGTCCTGATATTGACGAGGGGGTGGAGAATTCGCATCAGCTGTGGTGTGTGTGTGTGTGTGCTGGCCATCATCAAGTGGTATTTTAGACTGGACGTGCTGCGATGATGATAGCCCAGTTCACAACGACAAAACACACAGATCACTTTGGTCTCGTCAATGGAACCATTTGGCAACTTTTTAAAAGTAAACGTTCCATTCAGAATCTTATTGGCATCCATTTCGGTGTCTCGCGCTCGTCATCCACTCAAAACTGGACGTTTTGAACGTTCCAGAATAACATTCAGAAATAACGCTTTTATAACTTAATTGGAACGTTATTAAAACGTTCTTATAACCTAAAATTGTTAGCTGGGGAAGAGGAGAGATTCGCGATTGCACTGAACACGTTTTAAGTGCAGGCACATATTCTCTGAGCGAGCCCAGAGAAAATTCTTACAAGAGCAGCGTGTATCTGAGAGCGCGCGACTCGAGCAGAGATTCGTGCTCGGCACATTATATTCCGCGCGCGAGCAGAGAGATTCACGCTCGTGCATCCGGCTCGCAAGCCCAAACAAGTGTGTGTGGCGTGCCTGTTGTTTTGTTTCCGGTCTAGCTAGATCCGCTTGCGCTTTCAAAACGTCCATGCCGCGTCCTGTTGCAAAAGCACGTGAAAAAAAAACCTACAAAGTTTGCTAGGCCAAAAAGACCGTTAATCGCACGATAAAAAAAATGAACGCCGTTAAAATGGCAACATCCGACAACATCCATTAGTCAAAAGTCTTGTGGACACATTTAGTATGTGTTTTGTGGTCTTATTTCAGCAACTTTCATTTTTATTTTTTTCAATAACCACGCATAAACATTATTCTCTTAAAAATACAAACATGTACATACATGTTGCTCACATATTATGGTAGCCCCGTTTGTGATATATAGAGTGAATTTACACCTTTGCCATTAACATGTTTATAAATAACTGAAAAAAACACAAATGTCAGTGCATGTCAAAACATCCCATGGGCCCCAAAAACACCTTGGTCCCCAGAGGGTTAAATAGTACATTGTGTTTAATTTGTCGTTTAATGAGATCTAATATGTCATTGTTGGTGAGAATTTTCATGTGAAGAAATACATAGATCCGACAGCTACACGCATGCACTTTAAGTGGCAGAACTTTTGCCAAACGTGTCAGAGGTTCTGGGTTCTAATCCACACTCGTATAGTTTTTTTTTTCTCTCTCATTAAAACCGATTATGTTTATCAGTGGTTGTATATCAAGCAGGGACACGTTTGTGTGCATTTTACTTTGTGATTTCACCGTCTCCGCAACGGATTAAAGCGCGCATCCGAGTTCAAAATTGGTGGGGACAATATCGACCCTGGCAAAAAGTGGTGGGGACATGTCCCACCCGCAAATTACGCCTATGGTTATAACCGGTTATAACTGAGATTTGAAACACTGTAAATGCGTCAATCAAATGAATAAATGTAACAAGAATAGACTGATATGTCCCACATTGGAGTGTTCTTCAGCAGCTTTGCAGTGACTGTAGTAGCCATAGATTGAAAAAAGTAGCCTAGTCTGCCAGTCGATCTTGTAACGTTACAGATAGCTGTGGCTGCTTGGCTGAAGAGGCACGTCCACCGGCCGGCTCAGTCTCACACAAAGCCCGCCCTTTTACCCATATATGGATTGGCCAGAAGGTGGGCGGGGATAGGATTTCCCAAGATTTTCAAAAGATGGCGCCGCCCATACCCCCATAAACGGCCTCAAAACAGTTATTCAGAAAGTCTATGGGTGACGTCACAGACGCTTTGTTCATTTTTTTTTTACAGTCTACGGCTCGGACACAACGTGCTCGGGTAGAGTCGGGCTTGCATACCCGAGATCTACCTCGGGTATGCTAACACTTACAGGCACGAATCAGTCGTTTGTCTGTCCTTGAGGAACTTGTGGAGCCTCTCCCCCATTTTTGATGTATTCGTACATCCCGCACAAACACAATAGTTAACCATTTTTACTAGCTAGATCTCCAATATAACTGCTAGCCTACTTGCCGTTTAGACTAACGGTAACTCTAGGCTTGAAGCATAGACCAGGCATAGACAGTAAAAGCTTGGAGTCCCTTTTATGACGTCACGCCCAGCCTAGTGGAAGGGAGGGGGCGTGCTTAAAACCACTGTAAAACGTACCAACTTTTCATATTATATGCAGCATTTTGGTATAAAAAAACCACATAAAAAACAATTGTGGGCGGTTCTTATCTTTATGTTTAGTAAGCACATTGCATTATCTTCGTGAAAAATTTTACCTGCAATTTACACTTTAAAGTCCCTGTAAAGTCAAAATTAAGTATGTGTTTTGAGTTTGTCACACCACAGAAAAATGTGTTATTAGCCACCCAGCCAAATTTGAATGATAAAAAAAGCCAGCAAGTACATAAAATAAGCTATCAAAATCTT